TCCTGCCCTGGCTGTGGGGAGCGGGGCCGGGGCCGCGGCCGCGCGTCCCCGGCGGCACCGGACGCCCCGGCGAGGGGCTGGGGGCGGGCGGGGGCTCTGCTCAGCGCCAGAAATATCGTTCCTTTTTCCTGAATCGCGCCCAGCTTCAGACAGAGCCGGAGCCTGGCGCGGGACCTGCCCTCTGCGGCCCCCCAGCTGGACCCAGAAGGTGAGAACCGTTTTCCTTAAATTGCTGCTCACCCGCACCCCACTCAAATACCGCCCCGCGCCACAGCGGCAGCCTTTTGCGCTTGCCGCTGCTGTTGCCAGAGTTGACACTGCCACCGCCAGGATCTCGCGTTCGCTCAGATCCTTCACAGACTCTTATGGCCTAGACGATAGTAAGCGCCATAGCCGCAGAAAGGTTGCCCTCCCGTCCACGCATTGGGAGGTAAGCGCTCACAGCCACGAAGAGCGAGCACAGTGGTAGCACAAAAGTGTTTAACGTTGCCCCGAGAACATTCCTCCTTGCCCTTCTTACTGCAAAACTCTCCGAACACAAATACCATTCTGCTCCAGAAACCTCTGGACAATCGTTGCCTGCCCGGCTTCGGCAGTCGCTCACCTCTCAGCCTGCCCCTTGGCTCCCCTCTTCCAGGGACTCCTCTCAGGATGCAGAGCAGCCTGGCCCGAGCGGGACGCAGGCAGGACCTGACTTAGACTGGATGGAGGCAGGCCAGGCTTTGACCTTCATCGGCCACCAGGTAGGGGTGACTTGCTAACGAGCATGACTTAAATAACTGCAAGTTATAGCACGCGTCACAAAGCCAAGCAAGGGCTTGCAACCTCCGTCGCTGAAAAAGGCAGCTTTGCCGATTCAGACGACCGACTAGCCGAGAATTCCAGTCATCCAGTCTAAACTTGCGTTTCGTTAAGCAAACGTTCTCTAACACGCACAGAAAACCCAACCGCTCCTCAAAGAAAGCGGCGACGAGCCTCCCTCTGCGTCTTTTTGTAACAGCTTGAATCTGGGAGGGAACGCACGTAATGCCCTTCTGTTTAGAGACGTTCTTGAAAGCATCAGTTTCTCATTAGTGTTTTATGTTTCTGTTGACAGGAAACAGAAGGGAAAGGAAATGTTCACACAGGTAACCGCGCCTGCTTCGTGGCTCATTTGGTCGCTACCCTGCTGAAAACTCTTGGCTTGCAAACGTAACAGGGGTAACTGAAAGCAGTTCTGAAGCAGTTACAGCGTAACCTGGAGCTGCTCGCTCTTTTGCTAACGTTTGACACGCTAGAGGAGAAGACGACACTTCCGTATCATGAAAACGCTGTTGGTGCTACTGCTGCGCGGAGCGTACGGTTTGGGGTGCGATCTGCCACGGCCGTCACTGAGACAAGCCAGCTGCTTTTTCTTACGAAGCCCCAAGTTTACTTTTCCTTTGCTGCTCGCTTGGCAGGGCGAGCTGCGGGGACAGCGAGTAGAGGTGATGCCTTCCCCTATCTCGAGCTTAGGATAGCTTCAGTGGCTAAATGCATTTTCCCCCTGACTTCTAGGAGCAAAACCTCCGTGGCTAACAGAGGAAGAGGATGGAAGTAAACCACAAATTGGACCTTCGTACGAGGAATTTCTCAAGCAAAGTGAGCGGGTTGCATACGTTTCAGTTAACCTTACGTTCACTTTACCGCACTAAAGAATCAAAAGCTATTTGACTGAAAAACTTTCACTTAACGAACTATTTTTTAGAGGAGAAGCAGAAGCTGAAAAAGCTCCCAGCGGAGCGCGTGGGTGCCAACTTTGACCATACCTCTCAGACGGGTGACGGCTGGCTCCCTTCCTTCGGGCGGGTTTGGAATCACGGCAGGAGGTGGCAGTCCAGGTGGGCGTCAGGGCAGCACGGACCGATGCTGAGGGGAGGGCGTGCGGCTTCCTTCCACGCAAGCCGCTCGCGGAGCGGGCTTGGCGGTAGCAGCAAGCGTAAGGAGATGTCTTACCGCGCAAACGAGTCACGCCACGCGGTGCTCAGTCCGGGCAGGGCGTCGCTCCTGCCCTGGAGCAGCGCACGCTGACTTGCGGGGCGAAGCGCGGTCGCGGCTGCAGGGGCCGCGCACGCGAAGGCGTCTGCCTTGCTGAGCTAGGCTCACCTTTCAGACCCGCGTACTGGTGCGCATACGCACGCTTCTTCCGCTGGCGCCTCGTAATACGCTAGAAATCTCTGCCAGCTAGCTGAAGAGACTACTGCAGCTCACCGAGATAACTGAAAAAAAATAGCGGAGTAAGCGTCTGTTCTACACCACTGTGCCTAGCACTATCTCGCTTGTTAGATGAGGCAGCATTACCTCTTTCTAAAGGCTGTTGCGTTCTGACTTGTACGCTCTCTTTCAGGCATCAGTTCAGAACTGAATCGGGGGAAAAGAAGAAAAAAAGGTGATCAGAAGAGGAGCACCGAAGAAACCAAGCTGTGACCGTAGCGGAAGGGCGGACTGCGGGTACCTGCAGCTTTGTCGGCGCTGCCACCGCCGCCGCCAAGTTTAGCGCTCTTATTGAATACCTACATCTAGACGCGTCCAGTCCCCCGCAAGGCTGGGCGACCACGGCCTCATTCCGAGTTGAGCACCGTTACCGGAAGGGGGGCATCGTGGCAGACCCACTCCCCCTGTAAGAGACGCGCAGCGCACAGCTGGGCACCGGTTTCTTGAGTCTTAAGCTACACAAAGGCAGATCCTGCCAGCAGGGAAGGTCTCCTGCCTACGCGGTATCTTCATAATCAGAAAGCCTGCCTTATACAGCGCGTGCTGCCAGTGTCCTAGGCTGATGTGTGGCATGATGTCCCATTAAAAAACCAAGTTTTTGAGAAATAAAGTTGTTTTTTTTTTTTTTTTAAATTACCTGTGTTAGTAGAGCAACTGAAACTTGTTTCAGATGCAGGGCCCATGCTGGGGATAACCGATGACACGCAGCTGATGTTTTCATTCTAATTTATATTACTTTACTTGTTCTGCCTCACCTGAAGTCCTCAGTAGAAGAAAGGAGGCCTTGAAGACCATTGCTGTGGGCAGTTCTTCCTTTTAATTTAAACAAAATACAGCCTGATTTAGAGCTGCTTATTTAGCAGCTTGTTTAGAGGGAGTTTAAATACATGATTGAAATATCCCACTAGCACCTTCCCTGTCTACAATGCCAGAAACAGGCTTCGGTGTTCCTCCTACTAGAACCGAATACGGCTTAACGTCACTGGCTGCTGTCGGGGATGCAAAAGTTCCTTCCCTTTTTGCGATATAAAAGCACGTTCACAGTACATTCCTAACACCGTATAAATGCAAAAACTTGCTGCTAGAGGAAGACAGCTGTGACCTGTACCAGAAGCCACTATCAATAACGCGTCAATAACGAAACGTACACATTCTTGAAAAAGCAAGGAAACTTATTTCAATAATTTTATTGCGTGCATCTACATATGACACATTGTGGACGAGGTCACCGGAGAACCTGCAAAGCAAGAAGTTCCAAATCAGACAACCGGCTCGCAACCAGCTAGGCACAAACCAAACCGCCCGAAAGCCCTGCCCCAATAAGAACACTTGCACATGGTGCCCTCTGGCAGCAGCGAAGACGCGGGCCCCGCAGCCCACAGAGATAGGAGAGCGCACGCAGCTCTCCCCGTCCGATGGGCAACAGGGACAAAATCGCAAATTGCTCTTTAACTCTGGAGAACTGACGTTTCCAGCAACGCCACACAGACAGGCGCTCGGAGCGCGAGCGACGTCCTCAACACCTGGAGAAACGGCGCACCCAAAGCAACGTGGGAGCTGCCCGTGACACGGCGCGTAGCCGTCTGCCAGCCCCTGACCAAGCGTGACCCAGCTCCTTCACAGAGCCCGCTGTCTCACCTCCCTACGCGTCCTCCCCTGCGGCGGGCGCGTCTCCACCTTTCGTGTTTCTGGTGTAGATCACTTGGGCTCGGTGCTTGGACACCAGTTTGATCAAACCTACGAAAAAAGGAAATTATTCGAGTGCACGCGCGCGTAGTGGAGGACGCCGGGGATGTCGCGCTCCCTTCTAAAGGGGCGGACTGGACAACGCGCGATAGCAAATGCCAGGGTACCCGATACTACACACGCTTATACGCGGCTTTTGTTCGGGTCTGGCAGCGGTTCTGTCACAACCCGTCCTTCTGGCAGCATTGTCTTACTACAGCAACGCCACTGAAAGCGGCAGAGCCGCTGCTCCTTACTTTGGAGCGCTTTTGAAACGCGAGCTAAGGCAGCGGCTCATCAGAAACGCACCAATTTGCATACTGCAGATACAGTATGAAATCTTCTAGGTGAGCAAGAAGATGACGCCCAATTCAAGCTGCCTTCTGTTTTTCCACAGTTTTGAGCACTTACCTTTGCTGAGCAGCTCCTGGAGCGCAGCCCTAGCCAGGGAGCCTCGAATCTTCAGTCGCTCCGAGACAACTGCAGGCGTGATGAGCTTGTAGTTGGGGACTTCTTTGCACAGTTTGTCATAGGTGGCCTTGTCAAACAGGACAAGGTTGTTCAACTTGTCTCTCACTTTCCCCTTGGACCACTTCTACTTGAAAAGAGGAAAAAAAAAAACCCTAAGACATCTTCTAAGCAATAACAAAAGATAAAGCTTCCGGATGCCCTAAGAACTGCACCATCAGACGTCTCCATCTCGCGTCCCAGATTAAAGAACTAACGAGATGCGCAAAGTCGCCTTTATAAACGTCCGTGTTACAGACAATACCTACAGCACCTCCAAATAAAAGGAGCAAAACCTTTTGTTACCCAGCTTTAACGCCGTCGCCTGCAACTTACAGCCAGATGACGAAAGGGCTCCTCTAACGAGACGGCCCCCCAGCGCCAGGAGCACCCAGCC